TCAACAAGTTATAAATTATAATTATTGTACAATGTACTACATTATAGTTTAAATTATTGTCAGAAAATAAATTCGAAAAATTATTATTATAGTTTCATTTGTTTTTTCCTTAAAAAAATAACAACAGAAATGAGAGAAAAATGATTCATGCATTTTATATGTAAGAGATAAAGTCCTGGTAGATTTCCCATGATAATTGAAGTCAGGTCCCTAGTGGAAGCTTGTAGTGTCACTGACGGTTACAACTATATAGCTCCCTGTGTTGGTACACACGTAATCGCAGTTTTCATTAAAACGGGTAGCGGAGGAACCGGGGTAGTCAGCAGATATGACCGACAAACCTCATGAATGCTTGATTAGCTTCATCGTATGTTACATGTTTGCTTTATTAATTAGTTTTCAAAAGGGTATACCGATATGGTGACCTAGAATGGAATTCCGACATGACGATGGCCTCTTACTTGTTTATTGCAGCAACTTTATCATATTAATTAGGATACACCATTAGTACAAGGATTCGCCATTACCGTAGGTAAACTTTAAATTAAAGACAACTCAATAAAAAAAACTTTCAATAAACACCTTCGAGTTCTAAAATATAAGACCATAACTAATTCACCGAAAAAAAATTAATATAATTACTATTAATATTATAATTTTTGGTTTACTAAATATTTTATTAATTAATAATAAATATTTAATTTAAACCGTTCTGTCAAAAAAATGTGCTTATAGATAATACTTAATTTAAAAATAACACTAAACGTAAACGTTATTATAGTGCACGTATCATATATTCGATCATTTAATAGATTCGTTATATCTATTCTATGACCTACATTTCAAAATAAAGATTACAGGTGTGAATTAAAGTAATATTATGTTATGGTCAAAAATAATAATCGAAATGTTTGACATTTAAATACTCGACTTATATCTAATATTTATAATTTTAACTATATCCATGAACTAATAATAATATATCTAAACACGTGTATTAATTAAAATAATCTGTAATAATTTTTATTGGTTTAAAGTAAAAGTTGAAAGAAGTTGTGCAAATGTTACAACCACATACCAATAGGGATTATATTATAATTTAAAGTAAAAGAAAAACGACAAATCGTCATGAATCCAAGTTAAAAAATAAATCAGAATTCGACAATACCGTAACATCCATAACATGTTAAACATTATTTGTTGAATGATTAAAAATAATACAGATAAGTAACAAATTTATTTAAAATCATTAAATAAACGATAAAAAAGTAGGCATGTGAGATCAGTCCAAAAAATGAAGTAATTATGCCATACTGACCTTCCTTAAAATGACTAAAAAACCTAATACCACTACTTGTACATAATTTTATTAATCTGTATTTGAAGAATATATATATATATATATATATAATTATAGGACTAGAATTTATAGGACAATTCTATAAGACATTGAACGAAACATAATATGAAACTTCACAAACTTTATATATATTTTAAATAACTTTGGTTATAAATTATAAAAAAAATTTATAGCGTTTGTCTTCAATGAAGAGTAAAAAAAGAAATCACAATTACTAAATGTTTTTTCGTAATTAAATTATGAAAGTCATTAAAAAAAAGTAGTAAAATCTATTAAATATAAAGTAAATTATTTTCTCGTGTATTTAAATTCTCACCCATTTAATCTCTTTATTTTTAGTTTTCAATATACTTCAGAATATTACTTGATTCAGTTTCTAGCTTTTAGAACTTTTATACTCGAAAACATACTTCCCATAGTCTCTAAGAATTTTAAAAATTACTTAATCATAAGTACAAGTGATTAAAAAGTTGTCAGTAAAGCAAATTTTTGCTAAAACATAGGTAACTAAGACTTTAAAACCGAAAATAATTTGTGTCAAAATTTCATGATATATACAAGCATGGAATAAAAGTAGGCCATCATCGGCTATATATATATATTGGTTTAAGAGTCTTTACGTCTAAAGCCGCCGCGTTTACATGGTTCACTTTTAGTGATCATTTCGGATGAATCATCCACAGTGAAACATTGAAAATTTAAACAAACAGTTTATATGCTTCACTTTAGATGATTACACCCTTTATTGTGGAATGGTATTATCATTATTAATTATTTATTATTATCATTAATAGTTATAGATACCAATGATAATAATTATATTCTATTATTATTATTTTTTTTATTTAAGTAAATAGTTTGTTAGTTAGTTAGTTTTGTTAGTTGAATTACTTTAAGTCATCTACTGTCAATCCATCAAAATTTAGCTCAACCACTATTTCATTTAAAGCTCTGTCCCTTACTACCTAATTTTTACACAAACCATAGGCATGAAATTATTTTCATTGTAAAATAAAAACAAATTATACATACTTTATTCTTATATTCTATTACTTTGGCGATTTCCTATTAAACTAAGTATTAATGGAATGTGGTCATCTTTCCATTTAAAACTCATTGTACTTAATAAAAATTGGTTTACACGTCTTATTTAAACAATTTCAACTGTTACGACCAGGGCTCGAAAGTTGTAGCACTAAAAATGTTATTTTTAAGCTCTTAAAAACTCTAAAATATGTGCTATAAATAGCAAGCAAAATCAAAAAATATGCATTTATGTTGAAAAAATTATAAATTTATTAGAAAAAAAAAAATTAAATGTAATTTTACAAATATTTGGGCATGTAGACGTTTGGACTGATTGAATTATAAACTGAACAAAAATGTTAAATTAATTAAATATATTTGTAAAAGTTTACTTATAATTAAATTATTGTATTTATTCAATAACTATTAGTACATCAAATTGTCGATGAAAAAATAAAATAATTGATAATGTCTATTTATTTCCAATAATTTAAATATTTTTAAAACTAACTAATTAAATCATTATTATCAGCAAAATGTGATTATTTCCTGTATTATGTGAAAATATACCCAGAAATAGCACTATAAACCCAAAATTAGCAAAATAGCAATAAAACCCGTAAATATGCAAAAAATAGCAAAATTAAATGTTGTGTATGATATCCAAATAATTTGACACATATTTGTATCTTGCTTTGGACGTTCTAGGATGAACCAAGAAAAATATACATTTGCTAGAAATTCCGAGCCCTGGTTACGACTAATAATAAATAATTATTATGTATTGAAAGTGTTGTGATAAACTGATAACCATTTACCGCGATTCTCATATCAGAGCAAGATATCAAAAATAAAAACATATATTTGAACATTCACTGATACTGAAGATGAAAGTAGTGTTTCCACAATTCACTTTTGATGATTCGACATGGATTATTCACTCAAAACGAAGAAAAGTTGGACTCGACCGAACTTCGTTCATCGTTCAACGAGGATGATCACTTCTAATGATTTAATATTTAAGTTGTTCATTATTTATTCACTTTAGATGATTCATCCAAAATGATCACCAAAAGTGAACGATGTAAACGCAGCTTAACTATAAAATTATAATATAATGTTATATTTTATTTCAACTATCGACATTATTCAAATGTTTATGTTACAAACTACATGACTCATTTAACTTGATACTTATACTTTCTATTTAATTAAAAAACTTAGGGATAAACTTAAAATTAAAGATTTTTCCTAGTTTGAGATTATACATAAGTTCAAATAAATAACAAAAAAAAAAAAATTACGTAAAACTTAAATCAATTTATTTTGAAATGTATATCTATAGTCCCTCATAAATATTCAATCAGTTAATATAAAAACTATACATCCACAAATTATTAGATGTAATAAACGTATTTCCAATACAATTTTAACCTTTAAACATAAAACATGTATATTTTATATTGCAAGAAATTTAAAATATAACAATAACCTTCAATAAAACTTTTAAGTAAATAATTAAAGAAATTGTATAATAAAACAACATAAGAAATGACCACAAAGGATTAAAAAGATATTAGATAATAGTAATTAGGTAAGTTTTTATGTTTTAGTTTGATATTATTACAAAATAATTTTAATGAGACATAATCACCATTAATCTTAGATAGGATTTTATATTATCAAGGGTCTATCTAAGATAACACTATAAATTCAAAAATTACCTTGAAGGGGAAATACTATGCAAATTTTAGTAAAGAAACAGTGAAGGATTAATGAACATTCTTTAAAATTAGTTTTAATATTTAAATAACAAAAATGGAATAGAATTTAAGCTACTTTTGTACCTAAATATTAAAATTACAATCACAGGAAACCAGACCATGGGGAAAATGAGAAAATTCTCAGTAGATTATTAATTTTTTTATATAAAATAAGTGTCATCAAAATAGGTAAATTTGTATACATAAGCATTACCCATATACTTGCATATATAACATAATTATGCTTTTAATTTTTTTATTTCGATGAATTTTAAAATAGTTAATATTCAATTTTACTATTAAAAATACCTTAAAATTTAAATAAATAATTTCATATAGTAGAATAATTTAATTAATTGACATTTAATCAATGTATTCTAACAATCAAAAATAAACCTCTTCTATTTTTGATCTAAAAAAAATAAATAAACAAATATAAAATTAAATGTAGATCATTTTTAGACTATGGTCAATAAATGCACATTTAAATACTTTGTTGATACATACAATTAAGTAAAATGTTTAGATCAGTAAAATTAGCATAAAATATTACATGTTATACACAAATTTAACTTGTAATACTAGTCTCCCAATAATTTTATAATTTTTAATTCATAGCATTTTAAGATAACCTAAATTCATAGAAAAATACAGGTATTAAATGAGAAACCAAAAGACAAAAAAAATTAAACATAGTACTTATTCATCAATTTTTCAACTATCAAATTGAATTTAATAAACCATATTAAACTTGAAAAATATATTAATATTAGATAATAAAAGTGCAATATGCTAATAGTATTTATGATTAATAATATACTTGTTATCAATATAATGTATGAATAACTTACCTTTAAAAATGGTCTTGTTAATATATCTCTAAGCTGGCCACCATCGTAAGCTGTCTGAGAATGGTTTGGTAATGTAGTGAGTATATCCAAGACATCATGTACTAAACTAATCAAGTCTTCTGATATAGGTACAGATGGCTTCTTTTCCAAATCAGTCCGGCTAGAGTTTATGAAATGATACAGCTTTAATACAAACAAAAAACATAATTTTAAAATTATATCTCTCAGCAAATATCTAGAACAAATTCAAAAATATTAAATGCTTAATACCCTAAAATTAAATTAAATAAATAATTAATGATGATAATTAATATTAATATAGTGTTATGTATGCAATAATAATCAACATAATTACATAATAAACTATAGTAATATATGTGTAAAATGTAAACCTACTACTCATAGTCATACATCTTTTTGTTTTTATTTCCTATATGAAATTGTATTATTAAATTTCTCGAAAAAAATAAGTAAAGTATGGTTAGAATAGATGATTTAATTACGTAAAATTATATAATATAATCACAATTAAATAAAAACATATAATAACAATTCAAAAACAAAGAAATACTAACTTCTAACAGTTTACACAATTGTTCATCATCTAATAAAGGTAAAACAGTTTGTGGGGTATCAGGAAGTGCTTCCTGTATACATTGAATATCATCCAATGAACTTAGAATAACACCAACAGCTAAATATCAAATATAAAACAGATATCAATATTATCTTATTTATAATAAATATTTATTTGATATATTTACCTGAATTACTAATATCATCATCACCAAAATCTGAAAACTGTTCAATAGCGTTAGAATTTGAATCCAAAGAAGATTGGTAAGTCCAGCGTGGCGATGAAACTGCTGCCATTACAGCTCCACGTAAACGTCGACGACTATTATATATTTTCAATTGTTCTACTGTATCTACCAAATGTATTTTAGATGCATTCTTATCTCTTTCCTAACAAGAAATTGTTTAATGTTATATGACGACAAAAAATTTAAGATATTTATCAAATAGTTACCCTCAGCCATCTGTGATTTAAAACATCCTGAATTGTCAAACGTTTCTTAGGATCTAAACATAACATCTTACATATAAGATCTTTAGCAGCTTCACTAATAGGTTCCCATTGTGGTCTATTAAACTTTAAAATGAAAACAAATTAAAATTAATTGTACTAACAAATCACTGATATAAGATAAGTAACATACATTCAATTTAGCATTACATATATTGTGGTAAAGTCGATCACCAGTCCCAAGAAATGGGGTGAGGCCAGATAAAAGTATATGTAATATAACTCCAGCTGACCAAACATCTCCAGGTTTACCATATTGCTGTCTTTCTACAACTTCTGGAGCCATAAAATGAGGAGTTCCGATGCGTCCTATAAAATAACATTTTATTTTTTTAGTGATTGATTAATTATGAAATAAGCATTTTTAATGCATACATTTTAAAATTAAGCAATCAATCATTTTTTTTACTAAGTAAGAATATCATCAAAAAATCATAATAGTTAATGTTTTTCCTTTACGCCTCTCAAATAATTTAATGCAACATCTATATTTTAAACATCCATGGATATCTGGTTAGCTTTATAATAAAATGTATGATAGGTTATATCCACCATACATTTTATTAAAATACAGTAAATTCTTGTCATATCGATATTCAACATTTAAAATTTTATAATACCTTGAATTAAAATAATTATCCTCTTAAAATTATTAATACTTTATCAATAGCATATTTTATTAAACTCAAAATCTTCTTTATTTTTTTATTTATCAACAATTTTTTTTCGTTTGCCATAACAAGAATTTATAATTAAAATGTTTATTATCATTGCTTATTATTTTTAAATATAAGTAATTTTTTTTAAAAAATTTAAATTTTCAAAAGTACTTTCAATGAGAAATTATATTAAATAAAGGCTATACAATTTTACTCTATATTAAATTAATAATTAAAAGTGAAAACATAAATACAACCAAACATTTTTAAAATGAATTTTAATAATTCATAAATAGTAATAATATTTAATGAATAAATTCTCCATAGTAATATAATACATTTTATAATATCTATATAGCAATGTTATAAATTCTGAGTGGGGCAAAATTTGTTTTATTCTATAAAAGTGTAACAATACAGAAGGTAATTTTAAAAAGTAAAACTTTAATAATAATTTTCAAAACGTGAATATGTACTTGAAATTTGGAAAGTAACAATAATCATATTTAGAACTTAAATAGTTGAACAGGAGTTTGATATAATATAAGGTGATATGATTTGAGTCCTTTAACTATAAGTGTTAAATTTATATTAACAGAAGAGTTAATATAATATTAATATAAGTTAATAACAATAAAACTTTGAAATAATACTCAAAAAAAGGACTAAAGTAAATTTAAGTTATAAACAAAAAATCAAGCAGAAAAAAGTCCTATCTTAAAATTGAATGTAAAGGAAGTAGTTTTAAAAGATGCTCAGGCATTTTTTTTTGTTTTTAAATTAATCATGCATTCATTCGTCTAGATTCCATAAACATTTATAACCAAAATTGTTTAAAATAAAATTTATAAAAATATAATGTAAAACAAAAATAACACAAAACCAAACCAAATTGGAAACACAATAACAAAAGCATATTAGTAAAGCTTTACTGTGTATTGAAATAAGAAAAATTGTATCAAACAAAACATAAAATTAACCAATATTATTTCCAATTATCTTTCTTCTCTTATCAATATATTAACTTGCCTAAATTTTAGTATTATAAATATAAAATAGACTGATATTGAAATTTTCAATCACCAATAATATTTTTATTTGTATTGTTTATATTTCAGGTTTAATAAAATACATAAAATACCTGATACATTTAACCATCATAATTAAATTAGTTGCTGCATTATATTTAGGACTCAAATGTATTCAAGAATTTAGAAATATTTTAAAATTTACAATGCTTAATTAATAAAAGATCAAATTGAAAAATATACTTTTTTTTTAACAAAAACTTTAGTAATCAAACATTTTAAATATTTTTAACACCTTTAAAAATAATCAAATAATAATAACTAGATATTTTTGATCTTTTTAAATATATTTTAATATTCGTTAAACAAGGTAGTTAAAATGTTAAGTAAACCAAATATCTTACTATCTTCAAAGTTCAAGTTATTCAACTAAATTGTATTTAAAAATAAAAATAAATTAAAATCATGCTACACTAATATTAATGTTAATGATAATAAAATTACTAAAATGTTTATGAAGTAAATAATAACCATATTGATAAAAACTCATATAAATATACCAAGTTTTTAAATTTAGCTTAAAAAAAATGTTAATAGACTAAAATGCATACATAGATACTGAAATTACTCAATGTATTTCAGCTATAAAATTGCAGATTTTTATTATAAATAAATAAATAAACCATGAATTAAAAAAAAAAAAAAAAAACGATTTATATTAAAAATCTAAGTTAACACAATTTTTGAGTATCTAATTGTTCAAAATAGTAATTTAATAGCTATTAAATTGTTAATATCTAATTTATACTTTAAATACCATTTTGATACTCGGCAATTTCCAATTTTTCCAAATCCGGTAAATTATCATAGGACATAGGAATGTGTGCTAAAAACATGAAGGTGCAACATTGTACATAATAAAAATGTGTAAAAAGAGAAATTTTACATTTATAAAAATTTATTTTCTAACCCATGCAAACAATAACTAAATGTATTAATTTATGTTAATTAAAATCTATTGAACTACCTTTTTTTTCATAAAAGCATTCATTTTTAGTTAAAAATATTCAATATTTTAAAATTACCTCTAATTTTGAATTTCCTAGTCGTTCAAATTATAAATTAATATTTTAATTTACTGATATTATCTTTACAGTAACCTTAATGCATAAATATTATAGATAATTAAAATCCATAATGGTAATAGCATAGTTTTATTTTATAATTAATAGTAAATTTATCTTATTCTGAGATTAAATTTTTAATCATTATTTAATAAATTAAAATTATAAACTACTTACAATTTTAAAAATCCTGAATAATTTATTTTTAGGCAAATAATACAATAAAATAGTTATATATTTATGACTATAATATTTTAACATTTTTAAATAGTTAATATTATATCATTTTTTTCATTTTATGGTTTATAGTCATATTTAAAATTATTTAAATACCCACTATAGTGTTTATTGTAAAATTAAAGACTAAATTAATGTACCAATTAACAACACCAATATTCCATAATTTGTAACCCATTTAAGTGCTCTTACCCTGTCTGTCTGATTGTAAATAAACTTGGCCGTTAGCACTCAAATTGGGTCGGGACAAATCATCAAAACTTTTTGCTTCAAAAAATAAAAACAAAAATGAAATGAAAACAAAACAAAACAAAAATAAAACAAAAAAATAAAACAAAAACAATAACAGTCTATGTTTATTATGTCATGATGCTCCAATTACCTCCATTAATAGAGCTTCCATCATGTAACTGTATAGCAACACCAAATCCTCCGAGTTTGACTGGTGCTGAATTCTCTTTTGTAGCCAATAAGACACAATGAGGTTTAATATCTCTATGAATAATGTCATTGTCATGACAGTATCTAATTGCTTCAAGAGTTTGTCTCATATAATGGCTACAAAATAATTAGTATAAATACAATATTCTACAGAATATTATAAAAGAATTAAATTAAAAAAAATACCTAGCTACTGCTTCGCTATAAACAAAACCAGCAGTTGCTCTACGAACAATTTCAAAACAAATGTCAGATCCATCCATACTGAAAAAAAAGAATATTTATATTTAAAATTATACCTGTAACTATTTTATAAGCACATATGTGAATCTAAAAATATATACATTTATTTCTTCTTAAGATTTGTGAATGAATTGAAAATTACATACTTATTAAATTAATTAAACTATAATACTATAATATATTAACACATTTTTAAGACAAGACTACATAAACTATAAACATATTAAGACTCTTACTATTCAAAAACCATATAAAGCATTCCTTCAGAGCTGTATGTTTCTAACAGTTCCACAATATGAGGGTGCTTCAACATGTGACATATTGTAGCTTCTCTTTTTAAGTCTACAATAAATTTATATTTAATTTATAATTATAATTTAAATCAAAAAATTTTCATATACCTGATGTACTTAGACCAGGACTTGATGTAAAACTTGCAACATCTACTATTTTAACAGCAAATTGTTGACCAGTTTGACGATGAACACATCGTTTCACCAAACTAAATGGTCCTCTATAATAAGAAATTAATTATTAATAATATACTAATCAATAGTAGAATAAATTATTTTATATAATATTAACAGTTACTAAGTGACTTAACTGTTCGTTTACTTTGTTCATTTGCTTAATATAATTAATATGAAAACATTTATTTTGCAAAATGTTTAATATATTAGAAGAGTGGCTAACATATAAACTTGGAATAGATAATTGTTTGAATTTAAACTTTATTAATGTCGGTAAGAGGTTCAAAGATGGAATTTTATTTGCTCATTTATTAAAGAAGTACCAAGTAATACCTGTTTCTTATGGTAATAACTTTAAAAAGTCTAATTTTTATGCTGTTTGTTTGAACAATATGAAAAACATAAACTTATGGCTGAAAATCTTGGACATTAAAATTGAGGATTGTAGTATTCATGAAATAGCGTGCGGCCAATCACTTGCAGTTACTAAACTTTTGTATCAGTTGTACTTTAAATTTGAAATGTCAAAACAATACCAAGTATTTGGTAATAAAACTATTAAGGTAAATAAACAATTGCAAACAAATATAATGGCCAATTTCAGTAAAAGTAATGTATCATGTAATTTATTTAATCGAGAAAGAAAAAATGATAAAAAAATAGTAAACAATCAAAATTCATTTAATGTCCCCAAGTTACTTTGTGGCTCAGAAGATATTCAGAATACTATTACTTATTTCACCAAAAGTACCAAAGCAAGTAAATTCAACGCTTTGGATTTTATGCAACACAATTTGAACAATTTTTCAAATTTATTTGATGAGAAGTTAAATAATAAATTATTTAAAAGAGAGTTAAAAGAAATGTATAAGGAGCAATGTATGAGTACAATGTTAAAAACAATAAATACTAAAGAAGATAATAGTATCAAAACTGATAATTTAAAAAATAACTTTATATACCAGATAAATAATTTAGATTTCAAAAAAAATTTTTATGATAAAAGCACAACTACTATACAAGTAAATATATATAATGAACACAAAATCTCTGAAAATATTAAATCTGTATCTGATAATTTCCCATATTTTTCACAAGAAGACTTACAAACTGAAAATCCAAAACTTAATAATTTAAAAACCAAAGGATCTATAATAACACAAACTTCAAATGAAATTGAGTATACAAATTCTGTAAATCAAACAGCTTTTAATGACTATTTGCAGCATACTGGACTTTGGTCTTCTGAATATTTAAATGTTTGTCCATTTAAAAGTGAAAAAAAACCTTCTAGCAATTATTGTAGAAGATGTTTTAAATTTTGAATATGGCATAAGTGAAGTAAGATTTATAAAAATAAAAAAGACAAATTTTGCTGGGGTGATTGATGTAGTTCAAAATACAGAAGTAGTTCAAATGATGAAAAATAACTTAGAAAATAGAGAAATACTAAGTTTTACAGCAGATGATGCAGTGTCAGCTTGTTTAAATGCCTATAAAGAAGAAATAAAAATCTCAGTAAATAAAGGTGAATTATATCAAGTTTTTGATGAACACCAAATTATTACGGAAAAAAAAAGAAAATTTAGTAAGCAAAAATGAAGGTATTTATTTAAAAATTTAAATAATAAATTAAGTATTATAAAAATAAAATAGTACAATAATTTATATTTTGAATTAGCATTGTAGGTAAATATATAAAGAATGTCTCCCATGTTTTATCTATACTTATATCAGCAGTTAATAATGAAATATTTTTGACTTTTATTTTTTTAATTGTATTTTGTGTTAGAGAAACATATACCTATATAACTATTAATAACATTTTTATGTTCACCCCTTAATCACTTTAAAAAATTACTTTCCAGTTCTCAATGTACAAATTTCATTATAGTCACATTATGTAAGATATTATTCTAAAAACTTTAATGTAACATATGCAAGTATCTGATGAATATTTCCTTAATAGCCATTTTAATTTCTAGAGAAGGGATATAAAAATCTTTTAGTTATATATTTATTAAAAGTAATACATTATAAATAATTATTTTTAGTATGATATTGTTTTAAAATTTATTATAACATGATACAATGTTTAATATCCATGCAAAATAATTATTACCTTCAATTGAATTGGTATGTAGTCAATAACAAATATTTAACAAATTTTTTGATATGATTATTTAAGATAATAGTTTAGGTACAAATACTAAACCATCAGGATATAATATGTAACTCATAGACTGATAAAACAATTTTATCATTATAATGAAATATAATTTTAACACAATAAAACCAAATTAGAATACTAAACAATTAAAAAAAAAAATTACAACACCTATATGGATATCACGTTTTGTATGTGACTAAATAATTACAACAAATTAAAACAATATAAATGGCCTAAGTCTCTGGACATTTTTTTTTTTTTTAATACTATATAATTAAGCTAGTAAAATTATAATATAAGTATATAATAATAAAAAATGTTCACCTATTAAATAATAAAACAGTCCATAAACTATAGAATACCTTCATCCATTGTCACTTATCTTGGCTTCAAACTCGACCTCAAACTGAGATGGGTTCCTCACTTCAATTTCCTTAAAGGTGTAATATCTTGTTGGTCCAATTTTCTCCGGACCATAACTGGCGCTAGCTCGGGGTCACATCCTTCTAGCCTCCTTAAAACCTTTAACGCTGTCATCAGAGCTAAATCTGATTATGGATCTTTCCATTACAACTATGTCTCTAATTCTCACCATAAAAAAATTAACTCCATTCTGGCTTCTTGTCTTTGTACGATCATTGGTGCCTTGCACTCATATCCTCCAGTCAGCTTAGAGGTAGAAAGAATGTTCTTGTCCCCCCTATCGAAATAAGAAGTTGACGCCTTGTTGGGAAATTTCTGCTTAAATGCCTATCTTCACCTAATCAATCTCTCTTCAACACTTTGGCTTCTATCAAAACTTCTTGGATTTACGTACCTAAAACACTTCTCATCCTAGCCTCTGTCGCTTTCTCTTTTTCAAATTTTTCTCCATCCATTTATTGTTCAAACCTTTGGTTGCAATTATATGACATTCCGTACCTCACTTTAACCCATAACCCTCAAGTCATCATCTCACCTAATTTCCTTGGTTACTCCCCTAATGATCTATCCTCCCAAACTCTCTTGTTGATTTCATGTTTAATGATTTTGTCCTAATCAATTTCCCACACTCTCTATTAGTCTTCACAGATAGTTCTGTTTCGCCTGGCTCTGCGAGCTTCTTCTTCTATATTCCTACTCTGAATATTTCCTTTTCTGAAAAATTAAACTCACTGACATCATCTTTTACCACTGAATGTTATGCAATAATTAATGCTGTTGAATTCATCTTCACTATTGGTTCCAAAACCTTCCTCATTATCTCTAACTCACAGTCTTGCCTCCTCGCTCTTTCCTCAAGCTCATTCAATCCCTCCCCCATTCCTTTAATTCTCATCATAAAATCCTTAATTTATTGTATTAGCCTCAATGATAAAATCGTTAATTTTTTATGGGTTCTCAGTCATGTCGGTATAGCCGACAATGAGCAAACTGATCTCCTAACCGTTTCCCCAAAATTCTCTTCACATCCTTCCATTTCTAAAATGTCTGCTTTTAATCTCCTTATTATTCATCGCAAACTCCTCTCCAATGCTTTGCAATCTACTGGGTCCTCCTTACCACATAACTTAGCCACTTGGCATAGACATATTGTTCCTATAATTCCTAAGTTTCCATGATTCAGCAAAATTAACATTTCTAGGCACCTAAAGGTAGAGTTTACCCACCTCTGTATTGAGCACAGTCTCCTTCCCCGTCATTCTTTCAAGCTTTCCCTTAGTTCCTCTCCGCTCTACACTAGTTCTCACGAGGATTCAATGTGATTTTAATCAAATTATATTTAACTGTTCTTTCCTTTACCTAAAGCTATGGTTTCCTAGAAAAGCGATGCCGTTATTTAACGTTAAGTGACGTCACCATAACGTTGTCTATACAAACTATCGTAGTGGGTTTCCTGGAGAACGTTGAGTGTCATCGTAATCGGCAAATGGCGGTGCTGCGAGTTGCATGACGTCCGTCATAACGGTGATAAACAGTTGTACAACGTTTTTTCGCTTGTAGCGGTGTGCATTTGTTTATACGATGAATGGAAACGTGACTTGGACGAGCGAAAATGATGTACAATTAATTGACTTAAGCGAAAGTGTTAAGCGGAAGTATTGCCTAAATTGTTCGTCATTACAATGCAGATGGCAACGCACTAAAATTTAAAATGCATCCTCATCCACGATTTTTAAAAATCACACTCTCCTCTAAACGATTTTTTTTCGTCTTCTGAGGACTCTTCATCATCCAAATATACTAATAATGCTATGTCCAAATCGTCAATCTTCCATCAGTGTACGACCTACCACTCGAGTAAATACTGAGTGACGATTGAAAACGGTCGCACCACTTTCTAGGAAACCACAGCTTGGTCACCGTAAAAACGGCCGTTATTAACAACCGTCAAATAACAGCCGCTATATAACGGCACCACTTTTCTAGGAAACCATAGCTTAACAGACAACTTCTTTTCTCATTCTTATCTTTCCTTGATTATATAACTCCCGACTCTAATCTTATCATTCATTCCATTATTAATTTCATCTATTCTTCTGGCTTCCTTATTTAATTTATACACAATTAATTTAAGCTAATTTTTAACAATCTTTATGCTTAAATAATCTAATTGTATTGCTGTATGTTTATTAATTAAAGAAAAATAAATAAAAATAAAAATAAAATAATAAAAACTATAAATACAAATATTAATTAAAATCAAAAAAGTTAAATACCATCTTTTATTTAAAGATAATTTTTTAATTATTATTATTAACATTTTTTAAAGATTTAAAACTTTGTTGTCATACAATTATTTACAACAATTATTATGATTTGAAATAATAAAAAATTAAAGTTAAGACCCATATAAAAATAAATTGTTTAAATAAGATAGATATTTTTATATTT